GAGACACAATTGGGAGGTTATATTTTTCACTTAAACATTTATATCTCTTTTGCCAGTAGATCTTTGATCACAGACCCAAACAAGGGTCAGAATATGTCAAGCACTTGGATAACAAGCTGTCAAATATCATCTAGGAACTACTGAAAATAGAAATAAATGTGACCTGAATGCCTTAAATTTGGAGGAAGTTAACTTCTTCAGCTTTCAACTCTGCAGTATAGTCTACTTTCATCTTTGTTTCAGTAGAGAAGTACTAGGTCCATATGGATGCTACAGGGCACGGTGCCTTAGAGCTGCTGTATTTCAGATGAGAAACGTCACCCACATCCTATCTGCATTACAGTTATTCAATGTCTCATGACAATTTTTGCAAACATTTGGTATGTTTGCTTTGCTGTACTAATCAAATTTCCATTCCAAGCTCCTTCTATTTCTACTCTCACAGCAGTTTCAAATGGAAGATGAGATATTTCTAAAATACTGTGCAGCAGATGTTGTAACTCAGGAGTGGGTGAAGTAGGGCCAAGAAAATAAAAGCAGGGAGCTATGAAGAGTGCATTGTTTTCCAGGTTTTTCTGTTTATTTGCTGTGCTATATTATGTAAGTGGCTTATCCTCTGTGCCCCAGCACTGCTAGCTGTTGAAAGGATATGTTCCCAGAGGACTTCCCAGAGTCTAATTATTTTTTGTTGGAGAAAAGCACCGTGAAACTGATGAAAAATGACACGGGAAGGGTGCAAAGTTTTATTAGTCTTTCAAGGTCTGTTCAGAAGGCCACTGAAGTAGAAAAAAATACATTCCTAATAACTTCAGTGGACATTGAATTGGACTTTTAGTCAGCCCTCACTCACTGGGTTGCATGCATTTGTCATTTCCTTTGCGCTGTTTCAATGTCCATAACTACTTGCAGCGGAGTATTCCTGGGGAAAGCAGTAGTAGGCCAGTCAGAAGGAATTGTTTTCTTTTACTAGCTACTGAAATAATTTTTTCTTTGAACTCAAAAATTACTTTACAGTACATTTTTATATTACAATAGCAGTGAAAAGTTCCAAAAAAGATCATGAGGTTCACAGGTTTAGCAGTGTAAGAACTATAAAAGAGCATATGCTGCAGATATTTACAATCTGACTAACAGACATCTACTGTTACTCTGGTCTGGTTCTACTGCAAAGAGTTAAAGCTTCTGGAAGCTGGTGGGTTTCTTGTTCTGCCATCTAAAAACAAGAGAGGAAAGGAAAAAAAAAACGGTCACAGCCTGTTAGCCACAGTAGACCGAGTTCTCAGGAGCACATCTGCAAATTAAGCAGATAGATTCCCCTCCATCAGGCTGTCTTTCCATGCCACAAGCCCCCTGTGCTGTCAGAGAAGATTCCTCAAAGTGCTCACATTTGAATTCCAATTACATAGAAAGATTTTGGAGGACACAAAAGACCCCTATCAGTCAGGTACGTCTAACTTATTGTTTTGTCCAAAGTAAACTTCGTTGATACACTTAGCGAATGTTTTGAGAAATACTATATAAAGATCTCTCTCCTTAAGCCTGTTTATGGAGGACTTCAGAGCTCTGGGAGTGTCTGTGTATGATTTTGATTATGAAGAATTTGGGAACAGCACTTGCTTCTCAGGGGTATGCTTTTTCATTTTGCAAAAGGAGGTCCTGCAGATCAGTCAGAGAAAAAAACCCAATATACAATATTGCAAAATAAATGTACTTCTACCGTAGATATCTGTGTTCATGCCAAGTTAAAAATAACTGCAAACTAATGACAGAATTTAATGGTCAGCAATGAGCATTTACCAACTAAGACTACGCTATCCCGCGATCCATTCTGTGTGTCTAATCAGTGCTGTTCAAATACCCTCCCTCTGCATAAATGAAAGGTGCTTTGGGTTTGCTACACTTCATAAGATCTAATAATTCATTATTTGCTAGCATCCAAATTACTGTGAAGGTATTATGAATATGGTATGGTTTTAATGCTGATAAACATTAATATGAAATGTCACACTAAACAACAGTACTGATTATTCATTGTTCTCCTGTTTAAAATGTTTTTGTTGCCTAATCAGGTAACAGGCACAGCACATAGGTGAACAAACAACTACTACATAGGGGCAAGGAGAACAGTAAGTAGTAAACACAGTCTGGGAGTGACTCGGTGCTTAACATAGTCATCTAGTGACATCTTATAAACCCTAGATTTACTAGGACCTAAGACACAGGACCTACAGGAGGCTTGCTGCTTTCCAGAAGACAAGAACACCCAAAGGTATATGAAATGTCACTTGATGTTTAGGCACCTGAATCCTACCCCTTGTTTCTGAAACACATTCATCTCAGCAAACATCTAATATAGTTCCTGAAATAATACCCCACATACAAAACTGCAACTATGTCCATCTATTTCCATGCTAAGCACAATTCAAATTGCAAAGCACCTCCTCTCTTCATTTGCTCCTTCTGTAAATAAATCTCCCAATGCACCTATCTATATCTGAATTTCCTGTAATCTCTTCTTGCCATACAACCAACTATTAACTGAAAAAAACACAGCCCAAAATCATGGTTGATTTTAAAATAAAATAGGGGAGAAGATTCGGCTTTTTCTTGCTGTTAGTTTAGCTTCTAGCTCAGATCTCTACAGGTCACTTCTCAAATACAGGGGTTATAAAAGTAATGCTGAGATTCTTACTTATTTATATAATCCTTGAAGCTTCATCTTTTATAAAAATACCAAATATGATGAAGCATGACTCAAGTCACCGTAACTGGTAATTGTTTATGTAACTCCACCCTTCTTTATTTATCCTTTTTTACTTCTCCTAGTGTCTTTTTGCTTCTATCTTGCACTGCACCACAACAAAGGCAACAGCGATTCTCGTCCTCCGTGCTTTCCCTCCACACTGGCACTACTGCTAATCCGACTCCACAGTCACAAGGTTTTGAGCATAAAGCCCCAAAAAACGTTAAACTTTTTGGTTATAAGGTTAGATTTCTACCTTCTGGGCTCCCTGAAGCTGCTTAGGGTCAGATGCGCATTGGCCCAAAGGAATCAGCGGTGTTGGAATGTTAGAGGTCAAGGTCGGCACAGCCAAAGCTCAACCATGCTGTATTAACACACCATAATTAGCATGAAACAACCTGGAAAGCCAAAGCAGTTCAAGCAAGTGCCTAAGGAGCTATTCTGTCAGAGAATCTCGGATAAATATTCTCCCTGTTACTTACTGAACTGCTTGCTTATGTAAAGTTCAAGAAATATTAAGGGATGACAAGGAGGAAGTGTGTTTAAGTGTGTTTATTTAAGGAGTAAATTGTGTCTGTCAATCTCAGTTTTAATCATTTTCATTGGCCTTTTCCCCACTCTGTATCTACAACAGTCTCTTCAAATAGTATACTATTCAGAACTGATTATTGCTCCATTATTTGGGAAATAGTTTGTGACATTGTGGACACTAATAATTGTCATACTTGGAGATTCTTGAAGTATGTGTAAGAATACAAATGAATGGCAACATTTCAATTACATTGTTCACCATTTTTAATACTCTTGTTAGACTTCAAATATAGACCAGTGGGCAAATGCAGAACACGTCTTACAAAATACAGAACGCTAACTTCAGAGGTGTTCATGGTGTCTTCAGACATACTACTTTTCTAGAGGTCCTGTAAAAACAAAGCAGCTCAGTAACCACTAAGAAAGAAAAGATGAAGGAAATCTAACACAGTAAACCCAACTTTGTGCAAGCTCCTCTGAAAACACCATTTTTGAATGGCTGTAAGAAACAAGCAGCAGAGATACCTGTTTAGCATATCACCTGAAGGTAAATAACTTGGCAAATCTTTCCTCATGCAAATAACAAAACCTGCTGTGTATACTGACATACTCAGAACAGGGTTCACTAATTTAATTAACTCCTAACTGAACCTCACCTACAGTGCAGTACTTCTGAGAAGGAATCTAAATTAGAAAAAACTCCCACCTTCAAGGGCAGAGGAATCTAAATGTAGAAAAAACTACCACCTCCAGGGCAGAGGCACTGGGATTGGTTACACAGTGAGCTGAACTTGACCATGATCTCTGGATGATTCCACAACACCCAAAAAGATAACAGAGCTATTCCACGGATTATTTTTTAAATAGAGTCTGTATGGCTGGTCCTACTCTGTCTGTGTGCTCTGGCCCAAGCACACCTGACTAGGCTCACCTACCTTTGGAAGCATTTAATGGCAGATCCATATTTTAGCACAAGCAGTTTGCATACCAGTTTGTGGGCAGGCAACACAGGAATGTGGTACAACAGTTCCTACCGTGCAGGAGGACATGCACAGACAGCACTTTGATGCAGTCAGTGTCACAGTTCCCATGATTTTACAGAGACTCTCATTGCACACTATGTTGTTCCAGAGTCCTCAGGTTTTAATGTTGTGTAACTAGAAGATATCGACCATTCCTTAAAAAAATAAACCCTGTGTGTATTGGGTTTGCTGTTACAATAAAATGAAAAGCAGAAGCAAGGAAAATACGAATCCTAAAGATTTTGAAATGAGGAATTATATTTTAAAACATAGAGGTTTTATTTTACTTCAAATATTGTATTTGAAAGCTAGTTCACACTTCTACACTCTGGGGATCTGGCAAAAGCTAAGACAGAAAACTTGGACGTTTGCTAAAACGCACAACTCTGCTGTCACCGAAGGCCAGTGCCAATGAACCAGGCAGCTGTGTCCCTGCCCGGTGTCTGTGCTCTGCAAGGCTCCTTCAGGGTTATCATCCAGGCTGACTACGTAAACTCTTCTAGATTTTTGAACAAACAGGTTAAAAAGACACCCCTTGAGGCCTACTCACAAAAGCATGAGCACACAGCAAAGATAAAGAACTGGATCACGCTGTGGCAAGACCTGGCAGCAAGAGTCCCCCGTCCCCCCTCAGTCACCCTGCCAAGGCTGCTCGGCACAAGGGCGCTGACAGCTTCTCCCTCTGCCGCCTCAGCGATACCTACGTGGTTCGAAACGCAGCCGGCAGCGGCTGATTCCAAATGTCTTCCACAAAATCTTGACGTTTTCCTGGTAAACCTGCAAAATGTTCAACAGAAGGTTGCGTTCGGCTGCGTAGGCGCTTACTCCAGCTCCCCACTACCCGCAGCAGAGGCCGGCCCGGGGGCGCTCCCCGCCCTGCCCACACGCGGGTGCCGCTCCCGGGGAGCCGCCGAGCCCCTCGGGGGAGGCACCGGGGGGGGCCCCGCGCCCCTTC